GCTATCTCCCTCTTTTAAAGTTAGTCCCTTAATCCTTTATTTATTATTAAATTTTAATATTTATTATTAGATAAATTTAAGTTCTTTATAAGTATTATCTTAGATATCCTTAATTTATTATACTAAAGTAATAGCTTTAACTATAACTAGGCTTACTTAAGGTTCTCTATAAATAGTTAGTTTAAATCTATAATTAAGATAGAAGGAGGATTCCTTAATACTTTCTCTAATTATACTATTATAAGTAAACTAAGTAATTAGTAAAAGTATAACTTAATTATCTTAATTATAGTTAATATAAATATAGAGGTAGGTTTTAAGGATTTAATTAATTTATTCTATTTATCTATTAGTTTATAAGTAGAATATAGTAGATATTAATTATTTAATACTAAGTTATATTATAATTAACTTCTAAAACTTAGAGATAAAGATCTTATCTCTATCTAATATAATCTCTTTAGGTATATTATAGTTAGTAATAATATACTTAAGGAAGATATATATATATTCTTTAGTATTACTTACTTCTTTATATAAAATAAAGTAGGTATACTTTATAAGTTAGTCTACTATAATAAGAACGCTATTAAAATATACTCCTATAAGAGGTTTTTATAACTTTAGTAGTTTAATAATAAAGTTAAAAGATATAGATTACTAAGTAGTTTATAGTATAAATAAAAGTTATAGTATATTATAAAGTTAATATTAAGTAGGTTTACTTTTTAGGTATACCTTATAATTCTTAATTGCTTTTATTATATATTCTCTTATAACCTTTTCTCTATATTATTATTATAATTATTTCTAGGTCTTTATAATTCCTTAGTAACTATATATAAAGCGTATATAAAATTCTATAATTACTTTATTATTTAGTTTATTAGTTAGGCTAATATTAGATTATCTAGCTATTATTAAGAGTTTAGCTACTAATATTAGGTCTCTATTATTTTATTATTTAAGAATCACCTAGGTTTCTTTAGATACTAAGATATTATAGTCTAATTATTAGCTAAAAGTATCTATTCTACTATTATTTAATCCTTTTTAATAGATTATTTAAAAATTAAATTCTAAGAGGAATTCTAATTATTAGATTTATTATTTATTAAGTACTTTTAAGGTTATAAAGTATAAGAGATTCTTATAATCTAAGTATATAAATACTTTATAAATTATTCTTAAAAGTTTAAGTCTCTATTCTTTAAAAGCTTTAATAATTACTATAAGTTCTTTATTATATATTTAGTAGTTAAGTTCTAATCTATAAAGTTTATAAGAGAAGAAAGTATAAGGATATAGTTATCCTTCTAAGTTTTATTATAATAGTTATACTCTAATTATATAATTAGATATATTAAGTTCTACTTTAAACTATTTTATTAAGTTTAGGATAATTAGGATAGGTTTATTAATAATAAGGTCCTTAATCTTCTAAAATACTATTTATTATAGTTCTTCTTAAGTAAAAGGTATATCTTTATAGTTAAGGCTAATAAGAGCTATATTAATCTTATTATAGTTTTTAATAAATTTATAATAAAAGTTAATAAACCTTAAAAATC